AGATAAGAAGTACATCAAGAATCTGTCTCTGGAATGGAGTGGTTGTACAAGCGATTCACAAACTGCTAGAGAGATTCTGGACAAACTTCAACCTCATTGAAAGCTAAAAAGGACTCGTCCTTGCAAATTATGGGGGTACGAGATTTCCAGATTGGCTGGGACCTCAGTCATTACCTAATTTAGTATCTCTTTCTCTGTGCGACTGTGATTTTTGTGTTATCTTGCCACCACTTGGGCAACTACCTTCCCTCAAAGGGCTCCGCATAAGAGGAATGAAGAGAGTGGTTGCTGTTGGCCCTGAGTTTTATGGAAACTGTTCTTTCGGAATTCAGTCATTTCAATGTCTGGAAATTTTGGAGAATGGAGCAATGGCAGGATTGGTTCTTTCCTGATGGAGAATATGGTAATGGTGTTTTCCCTCGTCTACGGGAGCTTTACATCAAGTGTTGTGACAACCTCAAAAGAGATATTCCTTTCTATCTTCCATTATTGAAAAAGCTTGTGATTTTTAAATGTCGGAAGCTTGGGGCTTCACTTTTAACGACTCCAGCTATGTTTGAATTTCAAATGTTCCAGCATGAGGAACTTCAGCTCCCAATCAACTGCTGCTGCGAATTCCTTACTGATTTGACAATAAGTTGGAGTTTGAAGTCATTTCCATTTGACTTGTTTCCAAACCTTGGGTTTCTTGTACTCGGCAGTTGTAAAAAGCTTGAATCCTTAACGTTTTCGAAGAGCAGCAGTTTCCGTGAACTTAAATCACTAACACATATAGAAGTAGATGAGTGCCCCAATTTCGTTTCTTTTCCTGCTGGGGAATTGCCTGCTCCCAACCTGAAATATCTTACTCTCAAGAACTGCTGTGAATTGAAGTCACTGCCTGAAAGAATGCACAGCCTACTTCCGTCTCTTATCTAATTGCGCCTATTGAATTGCCCGTATATTGATTCATTTCCAAAAAGGAGGCCTTCCCTTCAGTTTGATTCACATTGAGATAATTCACTGTGACAAATTCTTTGAGCAGCGAATGAACTGGGGTTTGCAAAGGCTCACCCATCTCAAGTTCTTGTCAATTTGTTCCAAATTTGAAAGCCTGCAGTCCTTTCCAGATGGACTCTTGACCTCCTGTCTAGAATGTCTCTGTATATCCGGATTTCCGAATCTGAGGAACCTGGATGGCTTGGTGCTCGGGGAGCTCACATCTCTTCGAGTAATGGAGATTGAATCTTGCCCTAAGATTCAACGGTTGC